ACATCGAGTAATGACAAAACCATATTGAGTAATGACAAAACTATATCAAGTCAATACGAAACCATATCGTTTAATATCGAAATATCATTAAGTAATGACTATTCCATATTGAGTTATATCAAAACATCATTACGTAATGTCAAAACCATATTAAGTAAAGACAAAATATCATCAAGTAATAATAGAACAACATAAAGTAATATCAGAGTTCCACATAAGACAGCTGTGACGTTCCATACTGAGGTAATTAAACCTTATTAATGTGCTTCTCGTATGCCATGTCTTTAATTTTGACAAAACTTATTTAAATTTAATTAAAATTAATTTTTACTTAAGAATACATTTCCTTTTTTAAAAGGTTATCAAGAAAGTTTTATTATCATGATTATATTTAATTCTTGGTTTTACAAAACAAAGGTGTCATTTTTAACATTTATTGAATTTAATACTTTATATACTAATTCATATATATTTTGATAAATAAAAATAGTCACTGCATTATTAACTAATCTCGACTGACACCATAAATCTATACCAGGCTTAAGTTAGTTGTCAAAATTGTCCAGTAACCATAAAATATACTTGAAACATTAAAATGTTTTTGAATAAATAAGATATTTGAATAATGGTTGACAGTTCTAGTATTTTTGGTGTACATAAAGCAATGTGAACATGCTATCATGTATTCAAAAATTAATTTAACAAAAACTTAATTTATTACATGATATTCTTTTAATCCAACCAGAAATTACTTCCTCTGATCACCTTGTTTTATTTTTATTTTAAAAGTGATATACATTGTATATATATATATGCATGTATAACAGTTCCTAAATTGATGGAATACAATAGATAGATACAAAAAATAGGTCTAGATTGGTTAAGACTTGGTCGAGTATGGTTCAGAATATGTCGAGTATGGTGAGACTAGGTCGAGCATGGTTCAGACTTGGTCGAGAATGGTTAAGACTATGTCGAGTATTGTTGAGACTCGTATAACATGGTTAAGTACTTGTCGAGTAAAGGTCGAGTACAAGTTCAGACTGTTAAGTATGGTTCAGATTACAGTCGAGTAATATCAAGTAAATTTCAGACCAATTCAGACTGGTCGAGTAAAAATCAGTACAGTCGAGTACAGATATAGGCCATTTCAGACTTTTACTGGTTTGTAGTGTAACTAAATACATGAATGTTGGATGTACAAATTTAAAATCTTTAATAGTTCCAAACTTAACCGTTTTAGTAATCAATTGAGATAAAGAGTACATATCAAAATTTGAAAAAAAATATTTAACTTTATCTGGAAAAATAAACGAGAAAAGGTAAAAAATATGTTGTACAAATTATACAAACGGAGGACTAATAAAATTTAAAAAAATGGATTTAAAGATTAGTTAACAATGATGATACGTTACTAAACTAGAAAGTTATTCCTCGCCTTTACTTTGATAAATTAGGCACAAATAACTTAATTTTCTGTATGAACATAGGTGAAACACCAGATATAGAGAATTAAAAAAAATAACTAACTTTTACTTAGAAATTATCAAGACATGGTGAAATTGACAACAGTAGAATAGAAATATAAAACAATTAATTTTACCGATATACGAAAACAAATAATACATAAAATTGAATGGCAAATGTCTAGTCAATAATCAATGGATTAAAAATAATATATTATATGTGAATGATATCGAATGATATCCTGAATGACAATGGAGATATTTCTAAAAATTTGATATTAAACAAACTATCTTCCCATTGTAATAGGTTCAGAATATCAATATTACAACAGGCATTGCCAAACCAATAGCTTAATCTATCTAAAGATAAAAAAATCAAAGCGAACAAAATAGTATGTACAAATCATAAAGAGTATGAGTAACAAAATGTAACAACAAAAGATATATATAATATTCACATAGAATCTAAAATAGAAACACCAATAGGTTTTGTAAAGTGGAAACATATTTTGCAAATTAAAGACATTAATCTAAAAATAAAACACAATACACTGTTTATATTTAGATACTAAAAAGAAAATACATTGAAAATGTTGAGGTGGAAGTTGTTACATCGGATACTGCCCGTTAAACAAATATAAGAAAGCTGGAAAATATTCATAAACTCAAAATTGGATATGACATTAAAAGCTGGGAAAACCTAATACTTGGATATAAAAAAACTGACGAAAAGTATTATAATTATTTTTTTAACAATAGTATTATTTAGTATAAATAAAACATATATACTATTTAGCTAACCAAAAAGAAAAAAAACGTGAATGTGTTCACTATATTTTAATATGAATTTCTGTTAAGAGTAAACCACTTCAAAGCAGTGAAACAGGAAGAAAGCTTTATGCTACAGAAAATTGCAAGTATTTTAAAAATATCTCCTTTTTCTTATTAGTTAAAACTTTTATAACTGTTTAACCACATGTTTCAGTGACACTAAAGTCAAAATCAATAGCTATATACTTACAAACTGTAAATTAAATCACAATATCATATTTTTGATATAGGTTAATAATAGTATATAGGTCGATTTTGGAATAACTTAATGATATACGGAAAAGCACTGTTATATTTCCAGAAAAAATTGTTAGTTTTAATTTAAACATATGTGTATTCAAAATGTAACCCTGTCCTATTATTTATAGTATTCAGGGCTCTTAAGGAGAAAGCGGTATCCTTAAAAGATTTGTATACAGCTTTGATGAAATAAAGTATAGTATGTTTAGATAAAAGATAAATAAAAAAAAGGTGTACATGACCATCTTGCTAGTACATCTGACCTTGACCGCATTTTCATTTACTATTGATAATATTAAGTTTTTGCGAAACCTGTAGTAAAAGTTCAATCTTAGAGACTTCAAATATAAATGTATAGGAGAGGCTTTTCGGTATGTTCACTCTTTTTTTAATGTTGTGTTCTATATGAATGGCAACGTGATTGCTATCGTCTGTTATACTGTTGAATATTTTTTGGTGATTCCTGGTTTAACAGACAAAATATTTTCCCAATTTAAACATGTACATAAAGTAACTGGCATTTTTTTTTAACTCAAAATGATGAAAAACTCCTCAACGTAATTGAATAACAAGACATTTGACCGTTATTAATAGAAATACTAATAAAATGGACGACTTAAGTGGGTTCTTTTTTTAAATATATATTAAGCGATAATCCTTTAACAGTTTATAAGGATATTAAAAATAAGGAGATGTGGTATGTGTCAATGCAGTTTCTTTCCACCAGAGACCATAATGATGTGGATGTAAGCAGTTTTAGTTAACTATTACGAAGCAGCTCAAGTTCCGAAAAGCGTGATCTCTTTACAAAAGAACGATATATAGCCGAGTCGTCAACATGCATGACTAAACATCTTTCTAAAGCTATTAGCACCAGTCTGTCTACAGAAACAGAAATATTGTGAAAAATTACAGATGCCGACATTTTCTGAAAGGAACTTACTTTACATAAATCAAATATAAACAGCAATAACTGTCTTTCCCAAGATTGAGGTATTTTAGCTGCCCCCAGGAAACTCTAAAATAATCTACGACAGAAGGATCGATTTTTCGTTTCCTTTTTTAATTTTCTCGTTTTGAACGGTGATGTTCCTTTAGCCCGACCTTACAGTGTTTATCCAAATCGTTCGATATGCCCGAATTTGAAGTGACATTGCAGATTTTAAATAAACGTAATCTAGGTACAAAAATGTATCACTGGTAAACTATTTAGTAATGGATTTCGTTACCACAATTCACTTAAAAGTTTTATATAATTACTTTCATATATACAAAGATTTGGTTTAGAAGTTTGGTTGTGCCTGTAGAAAACTTATTTTATGGTGTTATAGAGTCCGTATATAAGATACGACCACCATGTAATCTGATTGATCATTTGATGAAAGTCGTTTTAAACGGTTATAAATTTGACACTGTAATAAGATCTTACCAAACTTATTCCAACATCAAATTCAGCACGGATGATATCATTAAAATGCTTGGCATTTAGATTGCTAATGTGTTTGTTGAGTTTGGTGGATAACTACTACATCAAACGATGGGAAAAATATGTGTTGCTAATCAAGCAACCCTACTTGCCGATTTGTTTTTTTTTAATGAAGCAGAATTCATACAAAACCTTCTCAAAAACAAACATAAATAGCATCTTGATAACCCCTTTTCAGTAAGTGGAAGAATCTCAAATATCCTAGTTGCCTTAAGATTCAACATACTACCGAAACTATAAGGTATAACACAGATAAATGACTTCAAACTAGTTAAAGGTTTTGGTGACCGAGTGGTTTTAGGAGTCGAACAACTGTATCACTTGCCTGTGAACACTGAGGTTGTGAGTTTAAAAAATCCTGTTCGATGCAGGTTACGCTCGACTTAAATCTTGATTGACTAGGATTGTCAGTTTTCTGTCTAAAGTAAGTGTTTCTCTCCAGGCATTCCAGTTCCTCCACCCAAAAAAAACAGATTGACATGAAATATCACAAAATTGCTGAAAGTGGCGTTAACCACCAATCAATAAAAAAAAAATGAATTTAAACGAAAATCATAATGATCCAATTACAAACTTCCATTTCCTGGCAGAATTATAACCTCTGCCCCATCGTTTGGTGTTTACATTCCTCAATAAAAAAAGTTTCATTCGTGCATATTCACACTACACGGCGTTGTTAAAACGTTCCAACAAACTACAGTTACAATTCATAATTTTTACGGTCACCATTATGAAATGGTTAACCGATACGAAAGAATCAAGTAACTAATAAAAAAAGGTCGGAATAGACCAAAAACACGACTCGAAATTAACGAGTCAACGAAAAACCGACAAAATCATGGCAAAACAACAAAAAATCGATAATAAAAAATAACGACGGTCTACAAAACAATGCACAAAAAGACTGAGTTACGCAACCTAAAACCGGATGTGATTATAGTATACTTTTGATGCAAAGGCAACAGAGAAAGATAAGATAAGATTGTGAATTTTTACTTTATTAAAGTTAAATTGTCAAATCAGGAAGGATAACAATCGTTTTACTTTGTACATAAAATTTATTAGTCAAACATTCCCTTAATTAACATAAGTTATTTACACAACAATAACGCTGGCAAATCCCATTATACCAGAGAAAAGTTTAGCCTGAAATATAGTCAAATATGAGTAAATAAACATTATTAATATAAATTAAGGTTATTGGTAAGGACAACAACGGCATAAATCATACTAAAGCTAAATGAGAGTTTGATATGTAACAATTTCGTTACAGAAGCAAGATAATTATTATGGAATTGAGAACATGATCTCTACACACAAGAAAATTTGTTATGTGAAGATAATATGGAAGGAGGATGAAAAAATGAAAAAGGAAACCGAATTTTTGGTACTACATAAATATAACTTACCAATCAAAATACTTTAAAATATGTTTAACCAAGGAGCCTATCTGAGTAAAAATGTGGAAAAGTAAAATAACAAAAATACCGAATTCCAAGGGAAATTCAAATCAGAAAGTCTCTTATCAAATAATAAAAACAAAAGCTCAAACACATCAAACAAATGGAAAACAACTGTCATATTCCTGACTTGGTACAGGCATTTCCTTCAATTGGAAGCAAGTATTCAATATTTTAGTAACGATAAATAAAAGTGTACTTAATTAACATCAGTAAAATACAATAATATTCGAAAACACAATGATGTAACATAAAAGGTTGACCAAGAATATGGTCAAACACTATCAAATATCTTGTTCAATAACATGTAATTTGTCCGACTTGTTTTATAGATAATAAAGAAGAAATTATTGTAAAACAGATGCATAAAATCATAAATTTTTTACAAAATAAATGGCAAATTCAGATTGACTTTTGTACAACAGTCAGATCATTGATTGAATAAACGAACAACAAACTAAATCATGCAACAATTTTCTGGAAACAATTTAAATCGTAATAGTTGAATAAATTTAATTTCAGAAGTATTTATAAAATGTAAAAAGCCGAACTATCTGAATGATTGAAAATTATATCGATCATCTTTCTGTCTTATAAATTATTTAGGTAACATCCAAATGTAGGTAACCAATCAAAATCTAGATTATATCAGTAACCATGGCGCTTGTCAAAAGGATATTTAAAAATGTGGAGGAAAGTAGATATTAATTTAGTTATAAAAAGAATAGATTTCAGTCGTCGACATTTACATTTAGTATTACTTGCCTGTATGTCATCCTCCTTCAACCTACAACAACCCATTCATGGATTCTTCAAATAGAGCAAACAAAAACAAATAATAATTTCTACATTGTTATGCATGAATACATTTAGTGTGCCATATTTATATAAAATCCAGAAGGCAAAAATTATAATTAATAATGAATTAATATACATTCTCTTTATGTTTAAAAGATAACTATTACTATCCAAATGTAACTTACCCATCGAACATTTTTTTTTGTTTTTACTCAAGGGGTTCTTCAAAGGTATGTAAAATGTGGAATAAAGAATATACTATTTAAACTAATATAAAGAATGGAATTCCGTCGTCGACGTAAAATTAACTATTTACATGTCTTGCCTTTATGCCCTCTTTTTTTCACAAACCGTTGAATAGAAATCATATAAAGTGAAGAAGCTATCTTTAAAATATATACTTCTCCTTAAATATGCCTTTCTGATGAATCAAATAAAAAATGTAATTATATAATAAACAGACAAAAGCAGATTGTGAATTTTTTCTATTTAAAAGAAAAATCATAAGCTATACACTACATACAAATCATACGCGAGAAAATGTCCTTAATCAACAAAAGTGCATTAAAAGTAAACTAAAAAACATCAGTATGTAATATTAAAAAATGTCCTAAGAATGAAGTCAAATATGCTATGAGGATAGTTTTATGCAATAAAATTTATCATATCGTATTTCGGATAATACAATGTAGAAAAGAAGTGCAAAATATTTTTTCTATATGTTCTTTTTAACAACCTTTACTTGATTCCAACCCGGAAAACCAAAAGCTCGACTATATAACTCATCGATGCGGAGCTGAATTCGCGATGAAAATATCTTTTTGCCCCAAAGAAATATGACAGTATGACAGAAAATGTATCTATCACATGACAATAACACATTTATATTGGATCTCTCCTTGCATATTCACGTAACATTCATAATAAATTTACACATCATTGTTAAAAGGCATTTCTTAACAAAGGTATTGGTATTGTAAATGATTTGTAAAATTTTAAATCGAAAGACGTCGATGAACAAACCTTTAATTTCGTCTGAATGCCAATGCACAGCTTTACATTCAATAGAATTCCGAATAAGGTAATACTATACTCCTTTTTCATTTTAAAGTAAAATACAACTAGTAAATATTTGTCAAAATCAATCAAAATGTCAGCTTTTTGCGTCATTAATCATTTACTATTTGAATGAATTAGTACAAACATGAGACTTTGCTCAAATTTTTCAATTTGGAGAAGAAAAAAAAAATAACCCAAAACATTTCAAAGAAATGTTCGTGGTATGAAACAATGTGATACATTGACCCTTCCTGTGTCAAAATACTGATTTTCTGTTAAATGGCATGCAAAGAAAGTATTTGAGCATCGATAACAGTTTGAAACGGTCTAAAATGATATCTTCGACAGAGTATTATAGATTTCCTTAAAAGGAATAACATATGTATGTAATCCTTGATACGTTCACTGGGTTACGAAATCAATATTTGTATTAATTATATCCTCATTTGATTTACTTGATTTGTAAAAAAACGCCCCTGTTTCCAGTATTTACAATTACTTGTTTATTTTCTTTTTGCAAGTAAGCACATTTTCATGTCATGAAAGTATATAATACCTTTAAAAACTTTCAAATTACTAGAATAAATCATTTGGTCGATTTTAAAATACATTTAAAGTGTAAAACAGTTGCTGATACAAGAATGCATGAAGAATCCGATCATTTAAAAAGAAATCATTTAGTGACAAAAAGCCTTTGTGTTAATTCTGTATAAAATAAACATTATTTGTGATTTAATTTATCATATTGTAATGTTAATAGGTAAATAATCATCCGATCTTTGAATTATTTAAACAGTTGAATTATGTGAACCTTTTTGGGATTCCCCTAATGTGAAGTTCACTATAAGTTAGTGTTTAAGTGTATAAGCAAGACAATATAATCGATCTAAACATGATGATTTTAATAAACTTATCGTTACACCTTCATCAGCGCCGATATTTAGAGTAAACAGTTTTGGAAAAGAAAACCCATGATTGTTTAGGGGCCAGCTGAAGCCCGCTCCCCGTTTCCATTCTCTATTCTACACTATTCAGCAAACAAATTGAACGAATCAAATTACAAATAACCGTTAAGGGATATGGGTCAAATCTTTATAAAGCATCTTTTAAACGGTAAAAAGCATTACTCTCCTTAATTTTTGGTTCCCTTTTCTTCTCATATCATATCGCATGTCTTACTTAAAGTCAAGAACTGTCAAGTGATAAATAACAATTGAAACAATTACACATTAACACCATGTCATGCTATGCTTATTATTAGCCTTGAAATACTGAGAATTTTGCAATATTTTCAAAAAGTTCAAATCTAGATGTACTTGTGCTAAAACAAATTAAACACAATTAACGTGAGAACATCAATCAAAAAAGGAACAGAAATATAAGTTCAATAGATTATCACTTCGTAAAAACCATTATTTGCAATATAAGTGTGCTGCCAAGATAACAAAATTTTTTATAAAGCACGTTATGAAATAAATAAAAATCATGTTAGTTATTCAAAACTTGTTAACGTCACCAATTGTACTTACAAACAATACGATATATCCTGTTAACCATTTCTCTCCATTGTCAAAAAGCTTTGAAATATTCAGGTTTGATAACATTCGAATTTTGCATCATTGGGTTTTAATCAAATGTGAAATCCTGAGTTTGTAAATGCCAATTTCGTTTTAAAATGTTTTAAAAAAAGTAAGAAAATAAATGTTTAAGGGTGTTTGCTACTCTGTTTCAAAATAACAAGCTTTTTAAAACACTATTTCAAATTGATAGTTTACAAATAAAGAAACTAAAAAAAGCAGAAAAAAGAAGGGTTCGTGTGCTTGTTTTCGAGATATAAGCCATTGAAAATTTGGCGTGATATGATTCTCTCTAGATTTTTCATACATTTAAAATTGGCAACTTTTTTCTTTCAAAATCTATGAAAAAATAACAAGGATTTCATAGGATTTTCGAATATGGCTTTTAAAACTATATGTAAAAATATTCCGAATATCTGGCAGAAATTCCAAAACAAGAGAAGCGAACATCCTTAAAGTTTATCTGGATTTTCGTTTTTACTCTAGCCACAACACCCAACACATGATAAAAAATCCTTGATGATAAAGAGTAAATCTAAAATAAGATCAACACACTTTATCAGGAAGATAATACTAACGACTGTTTTAGGTATAGAAGATGCAGGAATTTCAATAAGTTCACCCCCATAAAAAAATGTTAGTAATAAACAAAACAAAAACATTGTCACATCCAGCATAAACATTGGGATTTTAAAGATATAAATCATTCTCCAATATCCAGTAGAGTTTTTACAAAGTTTAGAAAATTTCCAACAAAAAAACAGCATAGCCAAAAATATAAGACCATTTATAACTATAAATAAAATATAACAATGAAAAAGATGTGCAGAAATTAATCCATCGTGGTAAGCATCAAGGAATGTTTGATTTGTTTCATTGCGGAAAGTTAAAAGTTCTGCTAAGAATTCTGCTGTACTCATCATGAAACCGATAAATACTCTGAAAAGAAAAATACCCCCGAGACAGCCGAAATCGTTTTCTGTCACACGAAATTTTGTACAACAAAATACAAGTGCTATTAGATATGATGTTACATCAGCAACATCAAATATTGAACAGTCAAAGTTACTCATTTTTTTTAAATTTTACTTCAAATCAACGAATAATGATGACAAATTCAAACATAATTTATTCGAAATTCATGCTGCAGCACAGTTCTGTTTACTTTTCATGAAATAAAACAAATTCCATTTTCGTTCTGAAAAAAAAAAATAGAAAAAAATGATAAAAATTAAAATTATCAATTCTGTCATCGGGTATTCAATTACAGATTTGTTTTTTGTAAATGTAGATATATATTAGTGTGACGTCCATTTTCTATGACTAGTACACATCTTTGTTTAGAGGCCAGATGAAGTCCGCCTCCGGGTGCGGGATTTTCTCGCTATGTTGATTGGTGGCCTTAGCTTTGGTCGGGATGTGTCTCTTTGACGCATTCCCCGATTCTCAATTTCATGTTATGTCGGTCAGCGTGAAACTAAAATACTTCGTACTTTCTGAAAGTGTTGTATGCATTAGATATTGTTGCACTGTATATGAATATGAAAAAAATCATGTTAAATTCATACTTTTGAAGGTACATTTACAACCAGAAACAGTTCTTTAAAGGTATAAAATAAGGCTACAGTAGTTTTACGACGTTCAAATATGGTACCCTAATTAACGCATCTTACAAAAACATAGAGAATCGCTTGCACTCAAAAAGGAGCAAGACCGGACGCGTCGACATGGTAATCGACTCCTGCTATGCACACAAATCTGCACTGAGTCAAAATGTTACGATTGGGAATATGACACAATCGGTTATATAATAGCTACGGCGACTATTTGTGTATCCAAAGATATGTCATAAATGGGAATAAAACTCAATTAGTAAACTAAAAGATAAGACAAATATTTATGTGCCTAGATAAAGAAAGGCAACAGTAGTATACCGCTGTTCAATAGTCATAAATCGATTTAAGTGAAACAAATCTTGGTCACAAACCAAAACCGAGGGAAACACATCAAATATAAGAGGAAAACAACGGAACAACAGAAACACTGAACTGCTACAAAAACAAACGCCAACATACATAGAAACAGACTATTTGATAACAACTGCCATATTCCTGACTTGGTACAGAACATTTTAAGAAAAAATGGTGGGTTGAATCTGGTTTTATGGCTAGCCAAACCTCTCGCTTATATGGCAATGTTAAAAATACCGCTAAATTGACAACATTACATGACAGGAATACAGTACAAATAAACGCAAGAACACTCAGGTCAGAGAAATACATAAATAAATAATATAATAGTACATTACAACATGTAAAGCACAGAATAACAAAGAACACCTCCCATTAATTTACGACAGTACACAAGTACACCACAATAGAATTATGAACTGTATGTCACACGAGTGTATCAACGCCACAAAAAGTGACGTCACAGGTAAATTTCTAAAAATTGAATATAAAAATTGAAATTACGCTTGTAATGGTGTTATTTTATGTATTTTCTAACCAGTACAAGAATATAAATATAGCGTTGTGTTAGTAACGGTGTAATTATTTGTATTTTCTAACCAGGTCGGTTTTTCTTTTAAATAAAACTGTAAAAACAAATGAATCATGTGCATATAGTTGCTTTAAACTTAAAATCATATAAATGAACTAGCTAATTAATTATCTTAACTTTTACATACATATAGATAATAAAAATAGAACTAAAACCACAAACGATAAGACATAACAATATCTAACCAGACTTACAAACGAAACATCATAACTAAATACATGAATATTGGCTGTATAAATACCGAGACACGTCTAATAGCAATGCGAATTCACACTCGGCAAAACAGTCATATACGGGAATAGGTCATGTTCGGTACTTAGCTGACCAGACGATGTAGATGTAAAACCACAATCTAAGACGTGGTAAAATGTTGTTAGTTAGTTTAGACATAGACTGTTTTTCTCATTGGCTAAAAGCATCTTATTTTGTATTCACCGCGGGAAAATCATGAGAGGTAAACACTCGGCAAAACAGTCATATTCGGGAATAGGTCATGTTCGGTACTTAGCTGACCAGACGACGTAGATGGTAAAAATCATGAGAGGTAAATATAAGATTTGGAACAGCTAACGTGTACCTAAATAGTTAGGTTTTCTAGGCAACAAGAACGACGTAGATTTATAATGTCATCCAAATTATCGTATTCCTCCTTTTTTCGGTGTCAATTTTTCTTTGTTAATTTTGCTGAATATATATCAACTTATGAAAGTTATCGACTTTTGATATCAGTTGATACAATTATTTATCAACTGCAGAAATATTACATTTACCCTCTGCAGTTGATCTCAGTTAATGCCATATCTCTGGTTGATTAATCAAGTTTGCCAGTAATTGGTTGTGTTATTACGTTATCAGATAGAATCATACGAAACGTCTTGTTAACTTTTCAAAGAATCTTGCTAACATATCTTAAACTAGTTTACCACTGCTGATAATGTTCCTTGCGTTAAGGCCTTTCTTTTCAATTTTGCCAATTTTGTTTACTGTTTACTTTTTTGAAGTTATTATGAAAAGTTTTAGTATGTCTAAATTGCGACGATTTATTTCGAATCATTTTTCTACTACATTTGCATGTAACATTCGATTTCTGCATATAATAAACTCATCATAGATACAAGGATTGAAATTTTGTTTCGTCTACAAAAGACTCATCAGTGACGCTCGAATAATAAAAAGTTAAAAAGGCCAAATAAAGTACGAAGTTGAAGAGCACTGAGGACCAAAAATTCTTAAAAGTTTTGCCAAATACAGCTAAGGTAATCTATTCCTGAGGTAGAAAAGCCTTAGTATTTCAAAAATGCAAAGTTTTGTAAACAGTTAATTCATAATTATAACCATATAAATGATAATTCATGTCACACAGAAGTGCTGACTACTCGGCTAGTGATACCCTCGGGGAATAAAAACTCCACCAGCAGTGGCATCGACCCAGTGGTTGTAAATCAATATAATAGCTACTACTGATGATATTATCATGATAAGTATACGGAGTCTAGGACATCAAAAATTACTGTAGCATTTGTACTACCCTCGTCTGCAGCTAAGACAAATCTGACGCCATTATATCACGATTATGCCAAATTCATACGTAACTATTGTGTGAAAAGTAAAGAGTGTTCAAGTAAACCAAATGCTTTTGACATCTTCTGTTATAAGTTGAATGTTGATTACAATATTTCAAACAGATAGTTTATATCGGTAGAATAGGTGTCTGAGACGGACCATCCCAACCCGTAGCCATGATAACAAATAAAGCAAAACCTTTACAATAAAAATTACGAGAAGACGTACATACTTCATTGAGTGAAATTACAATAGTAATGATAATGAAATTGAAAGAAGACATATGAATTACGTACCTGTATACATTCACCGTGAAACAGATGGGAGCTAACGTCAACGAGGCAGCAACGAATCTACACAAACAAAAAAGACATTTATAATGGTTACAATCCAATCTTCAACGATAATCACGACTTTATACAATTTGTTTATTTTTTTTTGAGGATATCTATTTTTGTGAATATCTATATCCCTACTATAAACGGCTTTTTTAGATTTAATATTTCTATATCAAAAATAAGGAGACGTGGTGTGCATGCCAATGAGAAAAGAATCCACCAAAAACGTAGGGAGGGTGTAAAGAACGACAGGTCACCTTTCAACAGTCTTCGGGATTCGAACGGCCACTGTAAGCACACCGATATCGAAGGATGTACACCTCTGAAGAGCCAAAAATTTCTAGAATTAGAAACCTGATTTTTTGGTTTATATGACTGTAAAAAAATAATTGGTGAAGAAAAAAATCACAGTTTCATAATTAAACATTTTTTCATACTTTCACTAAAGATGGAGTGGACCAATCTGAATAAATTTAACTCAAAAAAACTATAGGTAGGTGTTAATATAAAAAAGTTTTATAAAATTTTGTTGCTTTTTCGTGTCAAATTTACCATGTTGTCATTTATGTAAATTTGGGATTTTTCTCTTTTTTTAGAACAAAAAGCATATTATTTCAACTTCTTTGTTATAAATGATTGAAAAAATACATATCTAAGAACTTTGAAAAGAAAAAAAATTGATATGGCATGTACATGTATCTGGTAAAGTCATTTCTAGTACCCCTCACTCATTTTCTCAACATTTTGGCTAATAAGACTGACTTGATTGGTAATAAAATTTGAACATTTATTACTCAAAAACTGCTTATTGTAAATACACAATTTTTTCACAGTTAAGTTCGATTAAAATATTTTTTAAATTCATTGATATTTTCCACTTGTATCATATGTTTTGGATATAATTCCAGAACGAGACTTCAACGAGACTGAAAAGTCAGAAGAATACATCCTTAACTATGACATTGAGTGAGAAGGATTGAACGATCAATTATCATAATGGGAAAAGAGGTGGATAAGTCCCGTTTATTATGAATGGTGTTATGAGGATTGCCATGAGAAGTTCTAATATCAAGGGAAAAACATATGTCATATATACTTCTTGATATTAAAAAATAATGATTAAGATATCAATCAAGAAATGTTTAGTTTATAGAGTTTTGCCATAATGTAATTCATAACAGTATATGATTATACGATTTTGACAAGAAAATCGTAAGTTTACAAAGAAATACCAATCATTTGGCAATATAATTCATCTGAAAACCGAACATGAATACTTCCATGAAATCAACACACAATAAGCAATCTCAAACAGAACCATACCACCAGGTAAATAACATAACGGTCCGTTAATATAAAATTTTGTTATTACAATTACTTAGAAAATGTCATACCTGAAAAGAACATGTGTAACTACATACATACCACGATTAATATTCATCTACATTATTTGCTTATTCGGATTCAATTTCCTTTTACACAGTTATCACTATCACGTGATAAAGTATGGAAAATCGACATGATCAACACAAGAACGCTGCCTTTTTCATATACAATGTATTAACACAATGTCACCTATTTGACCTGAAATGCTTTTACAGATGCTTTTACAGCAATATTGGAAATATAAAAGGAATGACATTTATATTAGAAATACTTCATATTCAAACCATTTGCTTTATTCTAATTGTTTTATTGTTTAATCCACCATTTGTTACAGAAGAAAATGCATGTGCCTAGTCAGGAATATGACAGTTGGTTTTCATTCGTTTGATGAGCATTTAAATTTGGCATTTGTAAAGGAACTTTTCGTTTTGAATTTTCCTTGGAGGTCGTTTTTTTTGTTATTTTACTGTTTTATAAGTCTGTGAACTTCTTCGGAGAAAGCCTGTACCAAGTCATGAATATTACAGCCTTTTCCTAGTCGCTCCGTTAATTGATAAAATGATCTTTACGCTTTGTCAGTTTTAATGAACTACCCTATTTTTAATTTACCATGGAGCTCGGCATTGTTGTTATTACATATTTTATTTCTAAATAAGAATATCGAGTTACAAAATATTGCAAATTTATTCCTTCAATTTTAAATTTGAAGATTTGCCAAACTTCTTGTTAAAGTTTTACAAAAATGTCAATATCGATTTTTTTCTTTACAAATCAACGAAATAAGTGGATGTCAACAACACAAGTAATGGTATGCTCGCGTTCGACTATTTTTAATTTCAATTTTTATAATTACCAGTATAATTATTCTCCATATTTATCAATTTATTTTTTGTCTACAATTATTTGAATAATGTAAATCTATTTTAAAATTATGAATGATATCATTTCATATAAATCTACATTCTAGTTGCATTGAACAAATTCTTCACTATCGATGTGAAAATATTCAGTTTTTCTTGTAACTTACTGCTCCAAATGTGAGTACCGAAATGTATTAACAATTCGGTGAGTTCTGCATGTAACATAAGGTTTTAGAGCATATAATTGCATATAGCTATATTCTAAATGTTCTTTTTATGGGTGTGTATTAGATCTTAACTGATATGTTTCTTTCTTTGTATAAATGCTTATCAATAACAACTAATGGTTGTTTCAAACCTTTCTCAATATTCTTCGACGCCAAATATCTTTTGTTTTAAACGATTCAGAACAAAATTCCCTATTAGTCTGAACATTTTTCTAACTCAGTAAATTTCAGCACTCCTATAGGTCAGTGTCAATGAAGCGCAATTGGACTTTTACGACGGTTTCACTCGGGTTCACAATTTCTATAGTATATGCTTTAGTTTAAGGTCCATTTCATTTTTCTAATGATTAATACATATCGATTTGTATCAGTATTGAGACATTTAAATACATATTTAGTCTGATTAAATGATTGCTAATGCATAAGGCAAGCACATGTCAACAAAACAAATTTGCATGCAAATGCATCAGGCTAAAACCCAAATTAACAAATAAATCTGATCCTTTAAATCAATAACAAACGCAAATTCAGAAAACGATAAACATTTCGGTCTGTATGTACAATTTCATGACAGTTTAGAAAATAGAAAACATTTTATCTTACCTCCTAGTATAAATTTTTAAGAATATGATTGGTTAAAAGCATCTGCGTGGAGATCGTGTATATTACATATAGGTTTAGTAGGCGTGGTTTATTTTAATACATGGTGAGTAGTAGTGTTACGTCCCTTTGTAAAAACAACACGGTGTTGAGGGAAAATCAGAAAGGTTTAAACAGACGAAGAAATTGATGATGAACGATTGAAATCAATTCATAAAACACATTTAAAGCTTACAAGATGTTATTGTTGGCATTTGCGTTTGTATAAGCCAATGTAAGTAGGTTCTTAATAGACTGAACGATAAATTATTTAGCTAGTTATAGTCTTTCAGTCAATCTTCAGACTTATCTGTGCGGTCAATGCCCTTCTGTTCAGAAATTTACTTGCAGTCAGTTAAGATATGTTCAGTCTGTATTTGGTTTAGTATATGTTATTTACCTGTACAAATCAACATCAACCAGAATTGTCTGAAAAACTACTGAACAGTACTGAAAGAGAGGTGAATGATACCAAAGGGACATTCAAATTCATTAGTCGAAAATAAACTTACGACGCCATGGCTAAAAAAAGAAAAAGGCAAACAGACAAACAACAGTACACAAGACACAACATAGAACGTAGAACACTAAAGACTACAGAATTGACCGCAGACGAACTATCGGAGCAATACTGAATTTACCGTAGTGATTAAGTATGAAAATTAATGGAACGACGGACTAATTTATAGTTCAGACGTTTCAGATGATGCTAAGATCACAATGAACGTTTAAGACTATTAGATTCATTTACTTGTGTATTCGTATTGTTTTTTTCAAACTTGATTCATTTTTTTCTTTAAACAGGTTTCTGGAATAACCGTCAAAACAATCTTAAAGACTATCCTATATTTAATTTAACAAGAATGCTGATTTAAAAAAGAAATTGATCAATTCCTCAAGACAAGACTGTAATGAATAAATGTGATATTTAGCCATTTTACACAGCTATGTTTTTTTTTATCTTGGAATTGAGAATTCCCACATCGTCAAAATGACCTTACGAGAAAACAACCGGATAAATGTAAAGAGTACAAAAAATCACAAAAAGATTAATATTTACGAACTATTGCAAATATTTAACACCTTGAAGTTTCAGCGATCTACGAGTTGTTCGATTTAATGTATATAGTAAATTCCTTAGGTCGCTTTAGTACCTTTACTGCCCAACTATAACCTATCGTCAACTTCCTACTTTTTTCGGTTGTTCTATTCACGATTTTTATATCCTTCTTTTCGTTTTATGCTTTTGATTTGCCAACTGTTTTACACATATTATTTACAACTGATCGAGTTTTTCAATATATTAAATTGAACTCAGTGGTATTGTCTATAAAGCTATATTACATCTGCAATATGCTGTTAAAAAACAGGCTAGAAATTTTATGTTGTGATTGAACTGTTGCTTTATACATGTAAAATAACAACCGTTGTTGTAGATCTAAATATGAAGACTACACTATTAAGTAAGCATTGCAAACATGTACATGCTTTGAGTTTTGGATCTGTATATACCACTTGAAATTGTACATGCTTTGAGTTTTGGATCTGTATATACCACTTGAAATTAAAGACAAACCAATTATCGCCTATATCTATTAACTTACCTACAATCATATACTCATGATTCCTCCGTGGCTACATTGGATAATATTACAACGGAAACTATGGTTGATTATATAATACACTTTTTTTTTTATTGTGGTCACGTTGTTAAGTAAGAATATATAATAAGCCTTTTAAATGTTCCTTCTTTACATACATTAATAAAAACAATGAATATCTGCAGGTACTTTTCGGCGTATTTTAAATAATGATATGTATGTTGTTGCTCATTATTAAATTAAAGTAAAAAGATCTGCACTCAAGGATGTTCGCTACTCTGTTTCAAAATAACAAGCTTTTAAAAAGACTGTTATAAATTGATAGTATATAAACAAAGGAACTATAAAAGCAGAAAAAAATGAAGGGTCCGTGAGCTTGCTTTCGAGATATAAGCCATTGAAAATTTGGCGGGAAATAATTCTCTCTAGATTTTTCATACATTTAACATTGGCACCTTTTTTCTGTCACAAAATATGAAAAAATAACAAGGATTTAATCAGATTTTCAAAGATGACATTTTAAACTATATGTAATCAAATTATGAAAAGAAAAGAAGGGGTTAATGGGCAAACATTTTTAATGGCACTACATGGATAAAACTAGAGGATTCCGAATATCTGACAAAAATTCGAAAACAAGAGGAGCGAACATCCTTAAAACGTTATTATAACATATAACATAAATATACAAATGCGGTTTTTCCAACGCAACTACTCCTATTTATACCAGCTATACATAGATATTCACCTATTTCGTTTTTAGTAATTTTTTATAGCAATTTCAAATGATTATCTTCATACCACAATTTTGAACAGGAAAATTTTTTAGTTCTTGATGTTACATTTTCCATTCCGTCATTGATGGTAATGTTCTGCTGGCTTCTTCTTGTTGAGGGTACACTTTTCAATTGGTTTAATGTGATCATATTTGCAGTGACCTCTATACTTTTAACTATATTTTCTACTGACGTTCTCGTGCAGTAGCAACATGAATATGATAATGTTGTTAAGTTAACCGATTTTGATCTTAAACGGTCGATTTGATCTGAACAGCTCTTAATAGACTGAACAAAACATTATTTAGTCATTTTTAGACTTATCCATTGCTGTAAGTTCAGTGCTAATCAGACAATTCGCTTGCAGTAATGTTCAGTGGTTTTTAGACAATTCAGTATGATGTTTATGTGTACAGGTTAACAACAACTACTGAACAGTCTGAACATAATTTACGGCAAGCTAGTTTTCTGAATAGGACTGAATTTACAGCAATGGATAAGTCTAAAATTGACTAGTAAAACTTTATTTTTCAGATCAAAACGACCGTTTAGGGATCAAAATCGGTTTACTAGTGGGTGTTCTAAAAACACTTATGTAATAGTGTCTCTTGGTTTTCTACAATAATAGAAAACGTAAAAATTGATACAATATTTTAGTTGATTGAGGAAAATATGAAGGTGTATCTTCACATGCAACATACACAAAACAAGACTGACGAGCTCCGCATTTCTCGCGGTTACTTTTGTCAATAGAGGATAACGCGCTAAAAGGTACATTGGTTTTTAAGAAAATTTGTTTTTAAACCAGTTCATCTAAATAAAATGTTATCTGTTGTGAATATATTGACTATTTGCTTATTTAGAAAAGGTCGATGTTTCAATAATAACCGCAAAAATGTTAACACAATGTTAATCCACTTTGGTTAGGCTGAATTCTGTTTTGACGATAATGTTAAATTGCATGCAGTGGCAATTTCCCGGAACACAAATACCATTACTTAAAGATTTAAAGATTAAACCTATAAACACGTATAGATATGTTAACCATAATGTGTAGACATTGACAATAACAAATTATAAATTGTATGAATCTAAAGGGTTTTATCTGGATTTATTGTCACTAGGAAGGCAAAGAATGTGTAATTAACGAAAAACACGAAGAGCTTTATGATTAAAAGTAACCTAAAAATAGCCATTTCAACTTATGTCAACTTTGCCTGGTAGGAGTTGGAACACTTTTTTTTAATAATTTCTAAATTTATAAAAGGAAAATATAAGAAGATATAAATCATGTCAGTACCAAAGATCTGACTACTTAGCGAGTGATTTCCTCGGATACTACTATTGCACCAGTAGCGGTATTGATCAAGTGCTCAAAACATGAAATTATCACAGTATAACCTTTATGCGTCAATAACGTTTTTTTATTTACTTTTTTGGGGATTATCAAAGCCAAATATTCAAAAGCCAAGGATGTATTAGAACATTAATTTATGAAGAGGTATAAGACCACAAAGCCATTAAAATGATAAACAAATGTGGAGCAGGATCTGCTTACCCTTCCGGAGCACCTGAGATCACCCCCAGGTTTTGTTGGGGTTCTTGTTGCTAAGTCTATAGTTTTCTATGTTGTGTTTTGTGTACTATTGTTTGTCTGTTTGTCTTTTTCTTTTTTGGCCATGGCGTTGTCCGTTTTTTTTTCGATTTATGAGTTTGAATGTCTCTCTGGTATCTTTCGTCCCTCTTTTAATTGTAAAAAAAACCTTACAATTCATGTCAGCACAAAATAATTCGATTTTACAAAAGAAACACGACGGATGTCACCTTAGGAACAGGGATTTGTTACCCTGTCGGCAATATGACAATACCATTTATGGTAGGGTCAAGTTGTTCAATATTATTTTCCAGTTTCTTTTATTTGTCGATATCGTTTTTCAATTGACCGCTTGAAATCTTCCTTTTTTAATATTTACGACCGTTTTACGTTTTTCGGAGAAACGTTTTTATTATTGGATAGCTGAAAGAACTACTGTTCATTTTCAGACAATAGTGGTGTTTTGCACTAAAAAAGGCCGGTTATTTGCATAATCTGTACACAATTCCAGTAAACAGTTTAAGATGAAGTCATTTGATTGAGATTAATCATAAAAAATTGTGACAACAGAATATTGAATAACATTTTTATCGCATTTCCGTCCAAGTACTGTGATTTCATTCTTTTAAGATAAGTTCTTCTTCGTTAAAACCTAGAATCTCGATTAATCTAGACATTTTACAATCATAAAACAATTGTGAACAAGAGTGGTGTACGAATACCTCTTTACAAATAACTAAATTTTATATGTTGGACGGATATATGGTTTTTATCATATACGTAGAGTACATAACTTATCATTTTTACAGTATGATAATAGCAATAAATTAACGTGAATTCCATATTTTTCAAAATAGTGCTTAGCGGGCTGATATGAAACATGTATTAACGGCTCCTGGTTATTATCGCATGCCTTTCATTTAATGTCAGCGCATTGGCGTTTCGACGTCCCTCGGCGAATTCGGGAAAATAAACCTTAATGTTACGTTTTCAGTGAAAAAACATAACATAGTAGAATAAAACGAACAAATATTAGGAAACAGGAAAACATATTATGACAAATGGAAAACATCTGTCCTATATGTTCTTCCATTTATTTGTATTGTATTCCTGTCATGTAATGTTGTCATTTTAATGTTATAGTTAACATTGCCATAAAAGCGGGATATTTGGCTAGCCACAAAACCAGGTTTAAGCCACCATTTTTTTTTATAATGTTCTGTACCAAGTCAGGAAAATGGCCATTGTTATATTATAGTTCGTTTCTGTGTGTGTTACATTTTAATGTTGTGTTTCGGGTTGTGTCGTAATTCTCCTCTTATATTTGATGTGTTTCCCTCAGTTTTAGTTTGTAACCTGGATTTGTTTTTTTCTCAATCGATTTATGTATTTCGAACAGCGGTATACTACTGTTGCCTTTATTTATAGTATTTCTTCTCGTGAAGAATATGATTAAAAAAATCAGTACATGCCATTTTTCATATTAAACCCTTCACCGGCCCTCATGCATAATATCATCCCTCGAGTTTTCGGTTGTTGGGCTGATATCATGACCTAGAGCCGATAAAGGGTCTGATATGAAAAATGCCGTGTAATAATTTTACATTATGTCATAACGTAGTTGGGATAAATACATCGCGATCTTAGAAAAAGAAGATCTATGAACTCTTGATATATATCAATATATGAAAATAGCTTTTTCTTTTACGTATGGTATATGCGTAAAAAATATGTAGGATATATTTAATAAAACATCTACCCAACGACAAAAATTTAAAAAAAAACCAGGCAGGCTAATGCCTGTTTACCAAATTTGGCATTGATTTTCGACGATTGCATCAAAATCTAAATCTAAAAGAATGCGAAATGTATTGGCTAGAACGTTTCGTCGACTTCAAGTTCAGTCTGTCATGTTGTACTTCAAGTTCAACAGCTGATTGGTCACACTGTTATATTAGAAGTTAGTGTCAATTAACAGCAAACGCATTCAAAAGATGAATGTTGATAATATTTTGAGGTAATTTTGTTTTAAAGTATTACAGCCTTCTACCTTTGATGTCCGTCGATCATTTTATACTTTCTCCTTACAGATAAGTACGCATCAGAGAGGTTCCGTGAAAACGATATTTGTACACAAACAAACCATACAGAAACAAGATGGCGGAAGTTGTCACCGTCTGTACTGCAGGAATAAGACGAAGTATCATCAATGTTTTCTGAAATATTTGGTACTATATTATAAAAGACTTAGCGCACTTGTTTTGTATCTCGCAGTATATAAAATTGTATCCTCGAGCTCATACAATATATATGATATACTGATCGGGGTAAACTACTTCCATTTTAGTGCAGTAATCCTATAGGTTACAAGGAAGTAAATACAGTTCTGTGCGCCACCTGGTTTTTACATCCAACATAAAGCCAAGAAGTAAATATAATTTTTTTTTATGAATATGTATAATATTTAAATAAATGACTTTAGTGGAAGAAAGGAATGTATTTATGCAACGTTATGTATGCATTTAGGTAATTTTATTGAATCAGTAATAATTTTCTGAACCTATCTGCTGTAGGGGTGCACGTCCCAATTTTTGACACAAAAATTAGGTGCAAGACAGACGGTTGTTGTTAAGAACCAAAATTTAAAGTAAAAAAAGCTGCGGCACCATATGGTT